TTAGAATCTCCAAGTGTTGGCCTTACTATCTTTCTGCTTACTCAGCTTCAAGTGTTTGCTCTACTGTCTTTCTACTTATTCAGCTTCCCAATTTATAGATAATCCTGTCACTTAAAGCTTCCTCACCTAAGTATCTAATCAACTGCCAGATCTTGCCAGCTCAAGTTCCTCAGCATCTCTCTAATTAGCCTCCTTCTTTCTACTCTCATGGCCGTTACCCTAGTTTGGGATTTTATCAACTCTTAATCATGGTTTATTTGGTCTCCCTGCACCTCATCTTATCTACAATATAGCTTTTACAATCTAGTCAAATTAGCATGGCGTTATAGATACAGGGTCACTTTGCCTTAGTTCCCTTATGTGAAAAATGGGTTGGTAGGAGAGGTTTAGACTCAGTGGACTCTAAGATGCCTTCCAGTTCTAAATCTGTGTTCCTATGATCATAAATCAAAGAAATGAACACCAAAATGTTGTAATACTTTTGCCTATTAACAGCTTTCCAAGAGTTTCAAATGTCTTAGCTGTTCCTTTGGTTATTTTTCCAAATTGTATTTACTCTAAAGATGAAGTGCTGCTTTCTGAACACTATTCTGAGGAAAGTACTCTGTTTTCTTAGCACTTGCAGATTTGTGGGAGTTGTACTATTAACAAGGTGCCCATTTTCCTCTTAGAGGCAAGAGTAGGTGTTTGACTTTCCATCTTGGTACTGTGGGAGGAGTGATGGTTTTGCTGTTAGATGATCTAGGTGTGAATCCTGGCTTTGCAGAGTCACATGTCTGACCTTAGGGGAGTCACTAAACCTCCCTAGGTGTAAAATTCTTCGTCTGTAAAATGACTAGAAGACTTATAAGGACACTTTTTGACCCTGTATCTGTGATCCTATGATCCCTTTTACTGTTTAATCTTCAGCAGTGGTTAATTCAGATTGTGACTGATAAGCACCTGGTTCCCTGCCCATCTATTTGACTTCAACAGACTTGTCCCAGAAGTGGAATGGTAAGCCAGCTCCATTTGTTGGGCTTATTCCCTCCTCACCACTGGTACCAACCTTAAAATAGGGGAAAAAAAATGTCCCCAAGTGATAAAGTAGTTTTATAGGATTGAGGCTTTCCCTCAGGGTTCTTAAGACTTTTAAAAGTGGTCTGAACTCTTGTTCCTTGCTTAGGATTCCAGACTATTGTTGAATCAGATATAGTGCTTTGGTTTTTTTTGCCACCAATTTTAGACTTGATGTGAGATGAAGCTGAGAACAACTCATTTGTTTTGTTTTGTTGTTGATTTTTGACGGACTGTAATCTGGAAATAATGCTCGTTTCACTTGTTTTGTTGAATCTTGACACATCGCAGGGTGAGACTCTTTCTGGTTACAGTTTGACATGGGCTTGACAAAGCTTTTCCTCTTTTAGGAGTGCTGTGGTTAAATAAGGGAACTAATAGTCACAATAAGATATAAAATAGAAAGCAGTATTTCAGATCTGATCATCATAATCATATCGCCATCATCAATATTATTATTCTAAAGCAATCTTTTCCCCACAGCACATAGAAAAAAAGGATTGGGATGAGTTGAGAAATCTCTTGAGAAGCAGTAAGAATAAAAAAAAGGCTGAGAAAGGTAGACTTTAGTCTATAAACTCTGATTAGGAAGAGTGATCGTAAGACATTATGGAAGATTCTCTTGCCTAATTTTTTTTTTACTTTATTCTATTCTATTTTTTTTTAACCACAAAGCCTTGCTTCTGTTGCTTGAAATTTCTCTATCAGAAATTCATTCTTTTGAGTTAAGTGATGAGCATCCTTGCCTATTAAAATATTATAGAAAAAAAAGAATGTAACACATCAAGCCATGATTAGTCATTTGCATCTTAGTATGAAAAAGTTTAAGCATCCTTTTTAAAAACACTGGGAATACTTATTGCGTACAAGTTTTTTTTTACAAATATAATAAATATTAGATGATAGTAACAACACTGCTCTGTTTTATCTGTTTTATTCGGAACTTTCTTTTGCTTTCTTCTGTGTATTTTTTGTTTCATTGACACTCTTTCTTTTTGGCATCACTCCCAGTTACTACTACCCACTCCCTCAACCCCCCCAAAGAAAGACTTTCCTCCTGGGGTATAGTCAAGCAAAGAAAATCTACCCATTCACCATACCTGAAAATTTATGTCTCAATCTATACCTTTATACCATGAGGTGAGAAGCACCATTCACCATCCATCTCCTGGAGTCATGTGATTGATTAATCATTTCACTAATCAAAATTCTTAAATCTTTCAAAGATATTTCACTTTCCAATGTTGTAGTCATTGTATAAATGTTTCGGTTTACTCCATGACACATCAGTTCATATAAATCTTCCCTAGTTTCTTTGTGGCGTGATAATATAACACTACACTTATATGCCACAATCTGTGGGGACCCCTTTGTTTCCATGTCTTCACTGCTACAACAAAAAAAAGTGCTGCTATAATATTTATACGGGTCCTTTTCCTTTCTAGAATCTTTTCCACCTTGCCTCATACTTTCAATGATATATAGATCTTTGGATTTGTTTGTTGTCTGATTAGCCTGCACACATTTTTCTTCCATGGTTTTAGTTCAGTTCTTGCTCTATTACCTTCTTTTTCTGCCTTATTTGCTCTCAGATCTCCCGTTCTAGCCCCTCACTTCCAGAAAGACCCAAGGATACAGTGCCATGCATTTTGCCAACAAACAAACAGAAAAGCAACACAGGAAAACCTTTAGGAAGAATTCCATTGTTCCTCCCCACCCTTATTCCCGCCCCTTTCTATTTAGAGGAATCTCTGCCTGCTTTATTTGTGTTCATGTTATCTTAACTTTAGAATGTAAACTTCTGCCTTCCACCCTGTACTCTGGGATGACCATCTTCTACCTAGCTAGTGCTTAGCCCATTGCCCAGACGTTTAGCCATTTTGAAAGTTTCACTTGTTGAAGATGCCATAAACTTTGATGAAAGTAAGTCTTTAGAATATAGGAGATAAAATCCAGCTCTTGTGCATTGGGCCTCAAATTATTTGAGATATTTCCAAGTTTGATCTTACTTTAAGCTTCAGCAGTTGTGATACCATATAAAAATATTTAGAGAAACCAAAATATTAAGGCAAAGGGGTTATTCAAACTATTTGATTATTTCAGTAATTAAAACTTAAGTAGGTATCATTTTAACAGAATATGGCAACTGTGATATAAGGTCATAAGCCTGAAAAAGAGCAAGCCCTCTTAGTTATATTGAGATACATTCTGCTTCAGTCAAAGGAGAACTGTCTTTTAGTCAGAGCCCTCAATTCAGCTCCCTACCTCTATAGTTTCTTAATAGGTAGCCATAACCAAGTCACTGATCACCCCTAAGTCTTAGTTTCCTTATTTGTAAATTAGACATGCTAGTCACTGGTGTGCAAACCAGAGTAAGATGTTCTGGGTTTGAATCCTGGTTCTGCTATTTTACTTGTGTAATATCTCACAGCCTTGTTTAACATCATTTTCTCTTTTCTTTTCTATTCTTTTTTCTTTTCTTTTCTTTTCTTTTGGGGGGTGGGGTGAGGCAGTTGGGGTTAAGTGACTTGCCCAGAGTCACACAGCTAGTGAGTGTTATGTGTCTGGGGCGGGATTTGAGCTCAGGTCCTCCTGACTCCAGGGCCAGTGTTCTATACACTGTACCACCTAACTGCCTCTCATTTTCTTTTCCCATACAATGAAGGTTTATTTTTATTATATGACTTTCCTTCTAATAGTAGGTCTCTGAGCCTGTGATCTAGCTTTCCATATCTGTCATGGGGAAATTGTCTTTATAAGCCACAAGCTACTTTATACATGAGTTACTATCATTATTATTATTATTATTATTATTATCATTATTATTACTACCACTACATAGCTAATAGCTAGCATTTATATAGTCTTTTAGGGTTTGCACTTTACAAATATTTCATTTGGTCCTCACAACTCTTTGAGGTAAGTACTGTTATTATCCCCCTTAAGTGAGGAAACCAAAGCAGACAGGGGTTAAATAACTCGCCCAAAGTCACACAGCCGGATTTGAATTTAGGTCTTCTTGACTCTGGATTCATTGCTCAAACCACTGTGCCAGCTCCACTTACTGCCTTCTCCTCTAAAAAAACCTTTATGATTTCTAAGAATTCTAGTCCTGGTTGTGAGGCATAGCGGGATGCTGTTTGTAGAACGTTTTCCGTTAACTTTTTGATTGATGCACTATAGTTTTATATGAGAATTCTTGCAAGATGGAATATTCCAAGATGTACAGTAAATTTTTCAGTTGATTGATACTTGCTTACTTTCCTGTCACAAAACATGCAGACCTACCTGTGCACATATATCTATACTCATTCATTTCTTTAAAAAAAACTATTTAGTTTTTATTTTATAGAATAAAACAAGCATTTCTATAACTTGGTATAATAAAAAAAAGATGATTGCACATGAAACTGCAAATCTGTTATGTATAACTTGATATTCCTTTTAAATATAAAATAAATTTATAATGTAAATTTCTTTCTCCTCCCTTTTTTTCTTCCCTCCTTCCATCTCCCACTCTAGAGATGCTTACCATTAGACAGAAATAGGTATTATACATATGTGAATGTATATATTATATATGTGTATAAATAAATTCTATACATACTTCTAATTATCAGCTCTTTCTCTGGATACAGATAGCATCTTTCTTCATATGTCCTTTATAGTTAATTTGGGTATTTATAATCATAATTTCTAAAGATTATAGAACTGTGATCCCAAGTAAGCCAGTTAGACTGAATTACTTTACAAAATCCATTCAATATGCATGCTACATTTTTGTACAGCTAATTTTGCAAAGAAATGAAACAGTCAATTTCAGAAATAAAAATTAATTTTTTTTTAGCTAGGGGATTTTTAGGGGAAAATACTTGAATAGAGACTCAACTAAACTGATAGACTATTTTGTATTCATCTTCTCTCTCATAATGTATGTTCTGTAGGAGATGACCCTTCTGGAGGGAGAATCAGGAAATTAAGCCTTGGCCAGTATGACAACGACAGTCCTGGGCAGCCATCATTTACTGGATGTGGATGGGTAAAAGCTACTAATATGGATCCAGTTCCAGCTCTGGGATCCTTCATTACTTCAGGGGAAACCAAAGAGGTAGATATAACTTGGTGTTTTTATTATACCTTTCCTCAAAAGATTTCAAAGCACTTTAAAAATACCTAATCCAGTTTAACTTCATTCTCATGCAGACCTAGATTTCTAAAGTTTAAAAAAAAGATTTAATTTCCACCCTATGTAACTTCTAGTATTCTTTTTTCCCCATATCTTCATTTTTGGACTCCAGATATGCTTGTCTACATTTCTGAAACATCTATCATTTTATAGAAGTTCTCTATCATTTTCTGACCTATTATTTCTCTGACATTTTCATTTTTTTTTGAAAGGAGTAATTTGTGGCTTAATTTCCATCCTGATTTGTTCTTTGACGGGTTTTTTTTTGCTTTGTTTTGTTTTATTGATCTTCTGATACGCACTGGGGAAGATTGTGGATGTTCCATTATAACTTTTTTGGGTATCCTACTCTTGTTTAAGTATGTTTCTCTTCTGGGTTTTTTGTATTGCCTTCCTTTATCCCATAGTATTTATTCATTATATTGACAAATCTTTCTGCGTTCAGTTTTTTTCAGACTCTCTGCTGACTTTTCTGTGAGGATTTCCTTTTGATAAATTATTTTCTATCTCTTTTTGTGGGTACTGAATTTATTTGGCACATTTCTTACCATTTTTTGAAGTGATGGAGGATTTGCGTTTAGACATGACTTCTCATTCAACCAACTTACCACATAGCTCTGTCACAATCTCTAACATGGGGAATGGGAAAGGATTTATGTATTAGGAAGGGGAGAGGAATAAGCATTTATATAGTACCTACTCTATGCCAGACACTTTGCTAAGCTCCTCTAGGTATATCTTATTTGATCCTCACAACAACCCTGAGAGGTGCTATTGTTATCCCTATTTTACAGGTAAGTAAACTGCGGCAAGCAGAAGTTAAGTGATTTGCCCAGGGTCACACAACTAGCAAATTTTTGAGAAAGGATTTGAACTCAGTTCTTTCTGACTCCAGGACAGGTGCTGTAGCTGTTCCCTTACCTAGCTTCCTGGAGTCTTGTCAGAGATATACCTGTGCCTGATGTGACATAGTCATGACCACTCAGACATTTTGCATATTCTATATATAACACCTTAAGCAGCTCACAGATTAGTCCAACATGCATATCTTTCCTCAGTGATATGAGCAGTTCATGTGCTACCCAGGTAATGAGACTTCTGGAAAGCTATTTTATTTTGCTTGGAAGTGATATTTATCCAGATCTCTTATTATGCTTCCTTCAGAAACAGACATACTCTATCATAATGAACTGGGCTTCTACTCTTCTAATTGTGATTATTGCTTTATACTGGGCCTGGGGTGGGGAACCTGCATCCTCAAGGCCACATGTGGCCCTCTAAGTCCTTGGGTGCAGCCTTTTGACTGAGTCCAAGTTTTACAGAACAAATCCTTGTATTAAGGGGCTTTGTTCTGTGAAGTTTGGATTCAGTCAAAGGGCCACACTTGAGGGCCTGGAGGGCCACATATGGCTTCGAGGCCACAGGCTCCCTACCCCTGTACTAGGCCAATACGTTTCTTCCTTTTTTCTCTATCACTATTTCCTGTTCACGTTATCCTAAACCATTCAGACTGGGCCTGAGTCATAACCCAACCACCAGGAAAGAGATGTGTAGAAAGAGTTCATCAGATTAATTCTCTGCTCTCAAGAGATCTGCTCCATAGCCATCCTGTATATTCTTTGTTTCTCCTCCCTCCCCCCTTCAATTCTGGAACCCAGAACCATGATCAAATCAACTTTGCTATCATTCCCAGAAGGGCAATGTCAGTCTACTCCCCATAAGGCCTTACTCTCCATCCCACTTATCCTCTTGTACAAAGTGCACTTTCCTGGCTATTTCTCCCTTTATTTATTGCTTCCTTCCTTAGAATGAAAGTTGATTGGGGGTAGAAGCTATCTTTGCTTTTGTATTTTTATCCCCAGCTCTTAGCACAATGCTAGGTAACTGTAAGGACTTAATGAATGGTTCATTCATTCATTCATTCATTCATTCATTCATTTATTTATTTATTCTCTCATACCTAGAGAGCTCCAAACTAAGATGCCCCTCCCTTTCCCTCGTTCTCTAGATGATTTATGTTCCCTATTGATGCAAGCTTTATGGGAAGTATAAACTGACTGGCTTGCTTGTATTTCTGTCCATACTGATTTGTATATTGCTTTGCATGTAGTAAGTGCTTAAAAAGTCCATTTTCATTTATTCATTCCTGTAACAACGTGGGAAGAGAATTATATTTCTCATCTCAATTATACCTGTTCCTCTTAGAAAATAGCTATAATTGAGATGAAAAACATAATTTCTCTTCACACATTAAGGGAGTAAATATGTGTGTGTTCCCACATATACATATATATATATACATATATATATATATATATATATATATATATATATATATATATATATATTTATTTATTTATATGAAATTGTAATTTTCAGTTAGTAAAAAGATAATATGAAGTTAATTAACTTCTAGAGTCATGAATTTAGAATTGGATTGTAGTCCTAATTGTTATCTGAATCTAGTAGTCTACGTTAGAAGTGAGGAAGCTAATGCCCTCTGCCCATTAAACCCCATTTTATTTTTCTGCCTGTGTAAATCCTTTTGCAGACAATGGTAACCAGTTATCCTCAAGAGCTTGATGTAATAGATGGTGGAATATTCTCACCAACCAAAAATGGGAATGAATCAGTCCCTCCCACTCCAGCTTTTCCTGTGTCACCAGAGACACCATATGGTAAGAAAACCTCTAGCAATAGTCACGTGGCCTTGGACACATTGAATTTTCCATTTTTGATAAGCAGAATTATTAAAGTCATTTATTGTTCTTTCTCTTTCAGTGAAAACTCCTTCACATTATCCTCAGATCAGTCCATCAGAGCAACACATGAGCGGCCCAACCAATTTGTACAAAACAGGACATGGTAAGAACTTTAGCTCTTCTTTAAAATGTTTTGGTTTTGTCTTAGTCTGAAGATCATTCATTTACTGGGTGTGGTGGTACATGCTGATAATTCCTGTTACTGAGTAGCTGGAAGGTGGTGGATTGCTTGAACTCAGGAGTTCTGAGACTGCGTACAACTAAAGCCCATCAGGTGTTTGTACCAATCTTGCGCCAATATGCTGTGTCCCTTGGGCAAAGGTGCATGCCCCCCATCAACCAACTTAGCTAAAGTCAAAGCTTCCATGCAAATGAACAGTGGGATCTAGTCTAGAAGTGGCTTCCAGTCTGGGTAAAATAGGAAGAATCAGGTTCTAAAAAAAGAAAACCAATAAGAAGACTATTCTTTGTTGACTTTGGGTATTTTTTTGTTTCTAATGATTGTTTTGACTAGATTGATATTTCTTTTCACTATGTCTAGAAATTATTTGTTTCACTTTGGGATCAAATTTCTCAAGCCTTTTGGCTTTGAACAAATGTGGGATTTATAGAGTAATTATGTTAAAATCCTGGCATCACAAACCAGGTAATGATTTGGTCATTTAGGTTTAAATGTGTATGTGGAATAGCAGTAATAATAAAGGTATTATAATGTATTTGGGGGGTAGAAGAAGATAAGGGCATAAATTCTGGAGCTTAATAGACTGTTCTAAGAAATTTAGTTTTTCATCAAGCCTTTGTAAATTGTCTAGAAGTTTCCCTTGACCTATGACTGCCAGTGGCTAATGTTCTAATCATCTTGTTGTCTATTGATATTTTTCTGATTTTTTTCTTCTGTAGCAGAGCTTTTGAGTTGCTATACTATATAAAATATTTCCCACATATCTAAAAATTATCAGCCTGGAGCTTACCCATAGTAAATTGTTTAACTTTTTGTGAATAATACCACCTCATCGGCACCAGAACGCCATGGGATTAGAAGGTTAGAAAGCAAAATATTTAATTCTGTCCTTTTCAGGCAAGCTATGTCTATGTGGCTATTAAGCTTTGATTTAGTCAGAAGTGTGTTTTTATGAATCCCAAACTAGAGAGTGTGGACAATGCCTTTGTAACCTTTATGTCAAATCTTCACAATGGGTCTTCACAGTTTTATTATTCATTGTGATGTTCAGAAAGTCCAAAAGTTAGACAGATTTAAAAAAATACCCTCTAGTATCAGATATAAAACTTTTCTTTGCATTTACCTATTATATTACTTGAGAACAGAAGTTAGAAATTCTTTTATTTCCCTTAACAGTGGTTAGAATAATAATGGATGTTTGTTAATTTTTCTCTTGAAAGAGAAGTAATATGAACCCTTAAAAGTGGTAATTACCAGTTATCCACCAAAATTTCCTTTGTGGTTTCAGGCACTTATCAGTTCCTCCCTTTCTGCATTGTGTATAAAAGCTGTTAAACAAATACTTCATTTCCTAAGATTACTGAAATGGGGGGTGGGGAGGGTACAAGAAGTAGTACAGTGAATTATAGAAAAAATGGTATATAGATACAGGCATGGATACATTAAATGATGCTCTGTAAATAAATTCACATAATGTGTGTATTATATACAAAAATATGTATTTTAACCTGGAGAAGAGAACACTTAACTGAGATACATAATGGATGTCTTTTTTTACGTATGAAAGAGTAACATGTAGAAAAGTGAGTAGACTTAATAGGATAGAACTTGGACATGTTATAAGCAGGAAGACTTAAGTTCAGCATAAGGAAGAACTTTCCAATATATATAGAGCTGTCCAGAAATGAATAGTGATTGTCTAGAATATGAAATGAGTTTTATAGCATTGAAACTATTCATTCTGAAGCTGGACGAGCATGTGCCAGGATTGTTATAGAAAACCTGACATAGGGGGTTGAATCATAAAATTCTTTGATTCTGTGTTGCCGCCTGTGGTAACTTATTTTGAATGTCCTCAGTACTGAGAAATTTTTATATCCTTTGAGGGGAATTTTGGTTTTGAGGAACACTCCAAAGTTATTTGGAGCCATTCCTATTGAAAAATATGAGTGTTCAAGTTGAATAGTAACATTTTTTTGAGTAAAAAATCCAGGCATATTTATATGTAATGTATAATTATATTAGAGTGAGACCAATTTTATCATTTGGCTAAAAAAGTGAATCTGAAACTTTGGAAAAGAATAGTTGTAAAGTTGTTAGTGCAGTGCCTGGTAAGTGCTTAATAAATGCTTATGCCTGCCATTTCTGTTCTCCTCCCAAAAGCCACAGCAATGGAAGTCTTATGAAGTTAAGCATCCTCTCATGCCTTCTAACTACCTTGATATACTCCTTTTTTTTTTAAGTTTTAAGGCAGTTGAGATATAGTGACTTACCCAGGGTGACACAGCTAGTAGGTGTCAAGTGTTTGGTCTGAGGCTGGATTTGAACTCAGGTCCCCCTGACTTTAGGGCTGGTGCTGTATCCACTGTGCCACCTAGCTGCCCTGTATTAAATACTCTTAAAAGTCCTTTGTTGATGCCTATAGTGTGGCGATGACTGGATTTTCAAAAGCTATGCCAGAAAAGTTTAATTTCTGATAGGTTTTACCACATTGTAAAGGCTTAGAGTATAGAAAAAACTATGAATTTTAATAATAATAAGAGCATTTGTATAGTACTATAAAGTTTGCCAAATGTTTTACGTAGATTATCTCTTTTTTAGTCTTTTTGTGTGAAGATTTTTTCGCCCTTTCCTTTCCCCTCCCATATGGTAAAGAAGTTGCCACATAGCTTAGATAAGTATGGATAGGCTCATTATCAGAAGACCACAAGGTGATATTGTCATGACAGGCTGTGAAATGGAGGAGAATTTTAACCAGCCTGTGGTCCTACATTTCTTCTTTCCATAACTGCAGTGATATTAGTGGAATGGGGTGGGAGAGGATTGGAGTGGACTAGCAAGTCACCAGTTATGTACAAAGAGGACCTGAGGTTATTGAGAGAGGTCACAGGAACATCATGGTAGGTGAGAGTTGTACTGGGTTACAAGGAATGGCCAGCTGTCATTGGAGTCTTAGGTTTCATGTTTTTCCTTGTTCTAAAAGTTATCACATCTTAAAAACCTCTTTTTCTCCTGCCAAAATTAGACAACCAATATTAAGGAATTCAGTTGTCTCCATACATCTGGCCTTGTTCCTTCTCACACCTCAGTCCTGGGATAGGGTTTGTTGTGACCAAATTGGCAATGGGAAGGGAAATGGGGAGGAAGAGCAGGACGGTAGGGTCTTAGTCTGCTCTACTGCATGACATGCTTAGTTGTTTTTATGGGTGTTCCAAATATGGTGGAGGGGAGAGGAGAATGGTGAGGGAGAAGTGTGGTGGATTCAGGGAAGGGGAAGTTTGGTCATTTCTCAGTGGCAGGAAGAAAGAACTATGAGTTCCTAGATCTTATCATTCCACATCTTAAGAAAAAAGTAGCACACTGTCTGGTCTATTTGTTATCAAGTAGCTGTTAAAGTAATTAAGGGAAGTTAAACAGGAGAAGGGTGCTGGTTCTGGAGAGTTACTTCTGATCAGATTAACAGAGGGCTTTTATTTGAGCCGTCTATCTGTCAATGTACATACCTATGGCTTTGGTATTCATAGAACTATTGTTATGACAGTCACTATAATGGAACTGTATTTAAAAAAAAAACCTCATATCAGGTTTCCAGAAGTGAGTCTAATATATTGCTGAAAAAACTTCCTTTCATCGTTTACATTTCACTGGAAAACATTTAAAGGTTTTAAATCATGATTATGAATTGCTTTGCTTCTCTTTTGATGAAGTGAGTTAGTATCCCTTAATAAATAGATGGTAAGTCAGTCTCAGAGTCAGAAAGTCCTGTCTCAATTCTTACCTTCCTAAGGCAGCATATCACTAACAACTCTCATAGACTAAATCGCAAAACAACTGCCATTCTGAATTGGTGGAGGGAATGTCTTTCTTAGGAGTGGCATATACCAATGAAATCTTAGGTCCAAACTAAAAAAAGTTGTAGGAGAAAGGAAAAAGTATTTTGACTACTGTAAAAATATTTTTCTTTACCATTTAATGTAGTAAAGTCTTATCAGCTCTTTCTTTTTATTGATCAACAGTAAATTGATTTTTAGATTTAAAGTTTTTTTATTTGAGAAATGTGGTTCTTTAAAAGGAAATCTAGATCCTCTTTCTGAGATATTTTAATATTATTTTTAGTTGTTTTATTTTTTGCTTGCAACATCAGGGTGTCATGTCACAAGAGATGAAGATAAGAAATTAGGTCCCAAGTTCCCAGTAGAGAAAGATTCAGGCAGCAACTTCCTGTTGGATAAGAAATGGGAGTTATTTTGGGTTTTAGATTAAGCATAAGTGATATCTGTTCAGGCAGTACAATTTGTGAACTATCTGAGTCCCATGGCCTACACACAACAGTTTTACTCAATACTATTGTGTAGTGGGGGTGGAGGTTTAATTCTGGAGGAGACAGAGGAAGAGGGAGAGACATAGTTCTACAATACTTAAAGGTTTTACAAAACACTTTCCTCACTATAGCCCCAGGAAGTAGGCATTGTGAGTAGTATTATCCCCATGTTACAGATGAGGTTAAATGACTGAGATTCAGTCATAGTTCATGGTTAGAACAGGAGCTCAGCTTTGCAGATGCCAAATCTAATGCTTTTTTACATTAGTCTCCATTGCCTCACAATGGCCCCCATGCAGTTGTTTTATATGAATCATATCCCCTTGATTCTGTGAACAATTATAAGGGAAATAAACCCATAGTAATCATATTTCAAGCTGTTTCTCTACTTAATTAATTAATTAGACTTTACTTACCTTTTTTTATAACAACATAGATATTTCTTTCCCTTTCCCTACTTATATGTGTTTCTCAGGGTATATGCCTACATATACAAATAGCAAAGAGATTAATTCAGTCTTGTAGGATTCAGGAAATAAACCCGGTGAACTGAATTAAAATATACCACCATCACCTAAAAGAATTGCTATCATAAGGGGCA